CACGAGCAAGAACCAAGAAGCACCCTCCGTGTTAAGCCACTCTGATTCAGGGCTATTTGTTACTGCGGCATGACTCAGCCCATTGATACACCTCCCCTCTCGCAACCCATGCACCCAGCCCCGCGAGCAGCATACCAATATCTTCCCGGGTCTCAAATTTGGAGCTGATGGCCACCTGGTCATTGCCCCGACCGATGATCTGGAGAGAGCGAGAGCCATCATGGTAAGCAACTGGCAGTCACCACTCTAATGTGTTCGCTGCCAGCTAGTGCTGTGCTCAGCTTTTTATAGACGCAATGTCACTGAACGAACCCTCAACTACACTGTTATCTGCCCGGCACAGATGAATGACCTAAGGCTCTGAGAAGGTGAGTTGCCTGCCCAAGGTCACACGGCAAATAAACGGCAGAGGCAGGACTGAACCCGTCTGTCCGTGTCGCTAACCAGCAAGTGTATTCTACCGGCCCCAGCCTCGAGGTCAGGCGGCTCCAGGAGAACGTGTCACCCCGACCTCAACAGCCACCAGCCCCTGGTGCGTCCCTCCCGAGGCACCTCCACAAAACCACAACGCAGTACGCGGTCACCACCGGTCCACGACCCCCAAGGGCAATTCCAAGAGCCAAAAAACTCCAGAAACTCCAGCTATTTGAATTGGGCACAAACACATACGACAGCAGAATCTGCTCCGACCAGAGTCTGTTCAGAGTCCCGGCTTGCCTCCCTTTGACGTCTTAAAACCTCTTCCTCCTAAAACACGACTTGCACTGGAGGGAGCTGCCCAGACCCCGCTGGCCATGTTGACATACCACACGGCACGTGCTTTGTTTTTAAAGTCTAGAAAAGTCTCAATTCTAAATTTTTTTTTTAACGTTTATTTTTGAGAGCGAGCGAGCGCGCAGTAGCGGGCGAGGGGTAGAAAGCCGGAGACACAGAATCCGAAGCAGGCTCCAGGCTCTGAGCTGTCAATACAGAGCCCAATGCAGGGCTCAAACTCACAAGCAGTGAGATCATGACCTGAGCCGAAGTCAGACAACCAACTGAGCCACCCAGGTGCCCCAGGAAAAGTCTCAATTCTAACATACACCTGGCCAGGGCACCTGGGTGGCTCAGTTGGTTAAG